TCACCTAAAATATGATTATTACTGCTAAGTAATTCACCTAAAATTATTAAATATGATTTTATCTACACTAACTTATAGTATGTAACACTAGATAAATTTTTGTTTTCTAAGTAATAATTTTAGCCTAAACAATCACACTTTTAAGTCATTTGATTTGGAATATGATTAATAATACATAATTTTTTTTTTTTATAACTCATGGTAAATCTTAGCCATATGGCCCACACTAATCCCTAGAGGAGGTGACATTACATTACATAATATTGCCAGCCAAATCTCCTTCCTCTACGTCACAAAGCAGATCATAGGCCTAGAATTACTTACTAGTCTCATTGTAAATTACAAGTTTTCTGGCAGTCTTATTATAAGCTTAATAAACCTACTTAATCGGAGACCATGTGCGGCTATGTTCTTCTGCTACCAACTTTGTTACATTACATTATATTGGTATGCATGTACCCCTAACAATACTCTTTATTTTAATCGAAAAGTTCACAACTACTTTGACACAAAATCTTAAATTAGACTGCATTGAAATTAAACACTTGATTGGTACAATCTTTTTCTTTAATATACTACTACATTAGAAATAAATGAAAGAAAACTGTACACTATGATTAATACCCATGAACAAACAATTGGAATAGAAAGTTAACGAACGTAGATCATATTCTCTCTTTATGCTATAATCAAACACGTGTATTGCTGTTTCATTTTCATGGTTACAACATCTAACGTTACATTTGCCATGAGAGAGAGGTAACCAAAGTTTTCAATTGGAGAAATGAATTCGATACATATGGTCCAAAGAGAATTTTGTAGTAGTCTATTACGATAGAAGTTAATGCTTTTGGGCCACTATTGCCTCACATGTTCATTTTTTTTTTTTGCTATATCATTTCAAAAAACTTAAGAAATAAGTTTCGAAAATTGAAATTATCTAGTCACTAGTCGGCGGTAGAAAAAGTTTGAGCTTGATATGTAATATCACTTTTTATTGCAACCTTACGTATATAAACAACAAAGCTTTTAGTTGATTGACAAGATCCAAGAGATAAAATCCAAGTTATCAATTACTATATGCTTTCATCAAATGCATATTTTCAAACCCGCTTTTGATCGGGCTAGACCGGGTTATCCGATCAATAAAAGTTAAACCGGAAGGACCAATGAACTATTTTGAAGAAAAAAAATTAAAACCATTAAAATTTCAATAAAAAAAAAACCAAAATATATCAAGAAAATTAGAAAAATGGATACCAAATTCGAATACAAATTCGTTTAATGTAAAAAATGAACAAAAGAAAAAACCTTGTAAAATGGATTTAGAAAATTCCTTCAAAACCAAAATCATTATGACGACTTCACAATTGAAAAAGATAGGAATATAAAATGTAATTCAAAAATACAATGAGTGTACTCTTTTTTTTTTTTTTGGTCGAAACAGTACAATGAGTGTACTAAATGCCATTTTTTCAACCGTAAAAATTTGTTACCTTTTGGGTTTCTTGAATTCAACTATCCACTTTGTGAAAATTTTACATGTTACATCTTTAGGCTTCGAATGGTGACAGCGGTTACAGCGGTGCGGGACAAGCGGTTTAGGGGGTGCGGTGCGGTTTTAGTGCGGTGCTGTTAGAAAAAACGCACCCTGCGAAAATAGTGCGGTTACTGCGGTTTGAGCGGTGCGGGATAACATATGAATGGTGAAAAAAATAACATGCGGTGCGGTCTATATGTGTGAATGGTGAAAATATAAAAAGCGGTGCGGGATATATATTTTAGATAAATATTTTATANATAAAAATNNATTAATGACATTAATATAATTATAAATTAAAATNNNTTTGNCATTTTACAATAATATATTTATTGCTAAACTCAAATTA